TGTTCCAGTCAGCTCAGTCTATTTTCACTAATACATATCTAATGTAACATTGGTAACAAGCTATATTAAGATGACATCTAGTCTCACGAAAGGTTATCCATTAAAAACAAAAAGTCAGCACGCTATAAGAAACCTTGTGAAATTGCCTCATTAGACAATTTCCTAGTTCCATCTCCATGAACATGGATACGCAAAGGAAACCTAATGATCTCCAGAGACCCTCATGATATTACTTTTATCACCAGATAATAGGCAGCCATCAATAAGAGGCAGGATTTTTTCCCCTGATGGATTCATTTATATGGTACCCTCCTGTGGAGAAACTCTGGTACAAGGCTCATTCTTGTGAGCTCTTAGCAGATTATGTAAGGTTGCAAAACTTGCTTCCAACATTTAGACTGTAAATCTCTTGGCATAAATAATTATATCTTTTAGGGGGTTGTTGTTTAAGTACAGATTCCTATATAATCAGGCTCGAAAAATGTAGGTCCCTAGAACGTTTGGGTTTTAGCTCCTACAAATTGCAATCAGCCTGATCACTACAGTAGTCAGGGATTATGGCAGTTGTAATTCAGCAATTTCTGTAGAAATGTAGGTTCTCATCTCCTTTCCTTTTGGACACTATCCAAATAACTATTAATCATGATAAGCAGAATCCCATGAAAATAGTGTTAGTTTTATGTCTTCCAATAAGGGAAAGAAAATTACAGTTTGGCTTGATAAGAAAATAAAAGCAAGTACTTCTGTATTGGCCATAATCTAGGCCAGATTAATGCCCAGTATAAATCCAGGACTTTAATCAAGAACAACTCCTGCTCACTCAGCAAGTGACTCACAACCAAACCATCAAATGAATTGAACTGTGGACCTGGCCAAAGTAAACATGAATAATTACCACTAGATCACTGGTAGTTAATTGGTGCTGATTTTGAAGAAAAAGAAAAAAGCATATTTGAAGAAAACCAAGAGAAGGCAGTAGCAACCAGATTCAAGTGTCCATCTTCCCACATATAATAGCATTTTCAATTTCAGCAATTTTAAGATATATGGATTTCAACTTGAGAATGTATTTTGTACAGTAATGGAAAGTGTTGGAAGTGACTCTTTCTGTATTACATACTCTCTTTATCTGCAAACTACATCAAGAAAGGGCAAAGGTTCTCCTTCAGATATTTATAACTCTAGTACCTATGATACCTATTAGGGATGATTGGAGTACTACCATCCAAGAGCACAAGTCTATTTGACAATGAATGTTTAAGCAATTTGGAATATTTTAAGCTATCTGGAATCTTGCACTGTGTAATTTGCAAGAGCTGACCTATTTGCCATGTCCACCAAGTTCAACACCTACAATGATTCCGTAATGCCTAGGATCATATAATGCACTAATCAAAAGAAATTATACCTAAGTCTGAATCTATTCAGTACACTGGATACAGCTAATATAAACTTCTACCACTTTTTTGTTGAGCTGAGGATGAATGAATCAGACAGGATGGTTTTTCCTGAACAAGGTTATCCTGCAGATATTTTGGTGATAAGCCATCTAGATTATAAGCAGCATTTGAATTGTTTTTACATGGCAACAGATGAACTTCTATATTCTGCACTAACTGAAAGGTTTAGATAGGTTTCAAAATGAAATCCACATACAATGTATTACAGTTGTATGAAAAGTGATAAAGGCTTGGTTAACCATTATCAGTATCTCAAGCTCCAGGAAGGGCTGCAGTTCTCAATAATTTTCCTACAAAAAATGCTTGGTTTTTTTTTTTATTGCTGGCAAAATGCATTGTCAAATTCAGATGAGTACAAAATTCAGGTAATAGCTAAAGTTTCTTTTCTCATATTTTCAGCTGATTCTAGATTTACTGCATGGTTAATTTTAATTTTAATTAAAAATCAACTGAGATTTCAACAGTGATATTTGCATTAAGCTGTTTACTGCTTATGCACTTCTTTTAAAAAACTATTTTCCCGATTATTATTTTAGATTATATGCTTATGCTGCTGTGAATACATTTTTTATTAAAATGAAAACATTAATAAATGTTTTGCTAAAGATACATTTGAAAGCATGTAAATGCAAGTAGATGAATAGGTACCACTTTGGTGGGAAGGTAACAGTCTTCCATGTGCCTCAGCGTATAGACATACCGACCACATGACCATGCAAGCATCTTCAGACAACGCTAGTTTCCTTGCCTAGGAAACAGAGATAAGCACCACTCCCTAGAGTCAGACACCACCAGTCAGGGAAAGCCTTTATCTTTTTTAAAAAATACATGCTAAGGAGGGTGCTGGATTCAGTGTGATTCTGAACAGTTGTAAAACTTTTTTTAATCTGATGCATGTTGTAAATGGGTATACCTCGGTGGTGGGATTCGAAAACTTTTACCACCGGTTCAATGGGCGTGGCTTGGTGGGAGCACTTTGCGCATGTGCACATACTTTGCGTGCATGCGCACGCCAAACATACACTCTGCGTAGGCAGCGATGAGCAGCTACCGGCTCAGCAGAACTGGGCCAAACCGGTAGCATACTGGTATACCTCCAATTTTAAGACACAACCAACAAATATTAAGCACCAGACAAAAATAGAAGTACAGTACCCTTCATTAGCAAATACAGTCCAAGGAACAAATTCAACAAATAATTTATTGCAGGTTATTAAATTCTTGATTTTCAGACATATACCTTGCTAGACACGTCACACAAAGCTCACCCAGAATTTGGAAACACCCAACTTCCTCACCAAGAGAGGTATGCAAATCTGCGTGGGAAGCGCCAATGTCACTGTTCCCAGATCAGATATTATGCACGCAATAATCACTCAACCCAAATAATGCAAACAAAACAAAATAATGAAACCCAAATAATGCAAACAAAAGACAAGCATTTGAAGTGGGTGTGTCAAGAATTACAAGAATATCTGAGTGTTTTTGTTTACAAACATGCCCTGGTAACCTTTTTTTCTGCCATACCCACGTTACCTACAAGATGAGATAGCTTCTTTCTCCTCCCAGCAAAATTTAGCCATAAATGTACTCCAGCACATTTCATTGACTTCAGTGGCTGCTGATGTGGTTCAAGAACTGAGATCTGTCTAGGTGGCACACAAGTTTAATAAATCATTATGGTTTATCACAGTCAGCCAGATATTTAGGCTGGATTTGGCATTTTTGTACTATCTATTTTTGTACTATCTAAGGACTTGCGATGCGCAGGTGCGGATGTTTGATAATGTTACAGTTATTGTTACAGGATTATCCCTGGATTGATTGTATTGAATACTACCTGCTTTAACCGTGTATGATTTGGACTGTTTGTTGGACTTTGTTTACCCGTTTACTGGAAGTAAAACCTACATTTTACTATTCAGTGTGCATGCTGGTGTTATTTAACACCACTCTCACTACGTTTCCCTGAGTGCACTCACTCCTAACGGGGACTACCTCAACACGGATGCAAACTGTTCCAAGTAAAGCTGCCTTTTGTAATTGATTGGTGGCAAATTTGCTGGTGTTTCAGTGGTACTCTAGTTGTTTTGGGATTGCACCAAAGGTGCCTATTACTATTTTATTATTGTGGTTCATCACACAGCCAGCCAAATATTTAGACTGGATTTGGCACTTTTATCTACCTATAGCGTCCTTCCCAAGGACCTGGGATAGGCAGATGTCATTTAACAGATTAATAGATTAAAAGAGTTGGAAGGGACCTTGTAGGTCATCTAGTCCCACCCCCCACCCAGGCAGGAGGTCCTGATAAATGGCAGTCCAAACTCTTCTTGAAAGCTTCCAGTGATGACACCTCCCACAACTTCTGAAGGCAAGCTGTTCCATTGGTTGATTGTTTTCACTGTCAGGAAATTTCTCCTTATTTCCAGGTTGAATCTCTCCTTATTGTTTCCATCCATTATTGGTTGTCTGGCCTTCGGGTGCCTTGGAAAATAGCTTGACCCCTTCCTCTCTGTGGCAGCCCCTCAAATATGTCTCCCCTGGTCCTTCTTTTCACTGGACTAGCCATGCCCAGTTCCTGCAACCATTCATCGTATGTTTTAGTCTCCAGTCCCCTAATCATCCCAGTTGAAGTCCACAAGTCTTAAAGTTGCCAAGGTTGGAGACCCCTGCTCTAGGGCACTTGTCCTTGTTTTGGCAACAGCTGCTAGATTCATCCACAGGAGAGGCGATTCACAACAGGCCCGGCAAGGGCAGCCCCTTTAGCGGCGTCCTCGTTGCGGCAAGAGAGGGGTCGGCGTGGAAAGTTTCCAAACCCTGACGGAGAGAGAAGCCCGTTTTGAGGCAGCCAATGGGAAGAAGCCCTGAGGAGGGGAGGGGGGGGAAGCAGGCCCAAGGGGAGGAAGAGGGCCCGTGGGGGGTGGGGGTGGGGTGCGGCCTTATCTCCTGAGGGGAAGCCCCACCTGCCTTGCCTCCCTTTCCCCCCTCCCCGCCCCCCGCTTCCTCCCCTTTTAGGGTCAACAGCACGAGCCGCGCGCTCCGTCCTCCGACTTACAAAACAGCCCGGAAACTTTTCGTGGAACTTTGCCTCCCGCTGACGCCAACAATCAATCGCTCGGCGGGGCCCCATCCTCTCCTCTCGGCCAATGGGAAGCTGGGGGTGGGGAGGACCCGCCGAGGCCAATCCTGAGGCTCTTGGACAGTTCCCCCGGTCCTAACCGACCTTCGCCGGACGGGGGAATCGGGGAAAGGGATAAAAGAGCCCGGAGGAGGCGATTGAAGTTTGGCCGCTGCTGCCGCTTAACTCCTCCTGCTTGAGCTACACGGCTCGGCGGCGGCGGCGGCGGCTGTTCCCCGCCCGCTCCTTCTTCTTCTCCTCCGCTGTTTCCTCGGAGCAGGAGCGCTCGGTGCAGCCGGGAGCCCAGCACAGCCGCTCTTCTTCCGCAGCGGGAGGAGAGCGCAGGCGGCGGGGAGGGGAGCGGCGGCGGGGGGGCGGAGGGGAGAGAGAGAGAGAGAGAGAGAGAGCCGGGGCTGCCGGACTCCCTCGGGTGCGTGCGCGCGCGGCTGCAGCCGGAGACAAGCCGCGAGCGAGCGGACGGTTCATTCATTGCTGCGGCCAGCCAAGCCACCAGCCCCGAGGAAGAGCCGGCGCGACCCGCAGGCGACTCCCGTCAGGCTGCCGCCTTTGCGGACGAAAGAAAGCGGTTGGGGGTTGGGGGCGGCAGGAGGGGGGTTGGATCCGGCTTTTCCCTTCGATCCGGCCGAATCCGCGAATGCCACATCTAACCCCAGGGCGTTTCGGAAGACCAGCGGGCTGGCTGGGAGTTTGGAGACGCGCGAGGTAAGAGGAGGTCCGGGGCATCTGGCGAGAGGAAGGGAAGATGGAGAGCGGGGGGCGGGGGGGGGCGGCTGGGGGAGGGAAGGCGGGCGGGCGGGGGAGGCAGGGGTCGTGCCGGAATTGGCATCTGCTGCTTTGGCAAGACTGAGGGTGGCGAAGCCGAGAAGAAGGGTGGTGGTCTTCGGGGCACAGCGGGGTCTTTTGAGAGATGAGTAGCGCCCGTTCTCCCTTCAAGTCTTGACAGATGAACCGTCAACACTCCCCCCCCGCCAAAAAAAAATGCGTGGATTTTTATTTTTTTTAATGCTATAAGAAACGCCATTCTGGGGAGAAAGGCTATTCGGGCGGAAGGGAGGATGACTGATCTTTGGAAGGGAAGCATTTTGGAGGAGCCGGGTTCTCCCCAAGTGAGAGAGAGGTTGGGGGGGGGGGTACAAAACTAGCACTATAATCCAACTGAGAAAGTCCTGGCCTCCCTCGGGCCTCCCAACGTCTTTTGCTTGTCTTGTTACAAGCCGCTGCCTGGCAAGAGAGGAGAGGGAAAGCGCTAAAAGAGGGGGAGATGCCAGTGAGGGGAAAGCAGGTCAAGCGGTAACTGCTTTTGGAGCCCTCAAGGGTGCAAGGTTTGGAGGACGTTCCCTTGCTGGTCCACATAGTAACACCATTGGGTGCAGTGGGATGACGATCATGCTAGCTCAAAAGGGGAGGACATAAAGGGGAGAATCCAAGGACAAGATAGGGGAGGCCTGTGTTTCTCAGCCTTGGAACTTTAAGAGGCAAGTGGTTTTTAATTCCCAGAATTCCCCAGCTGGCTTGGGCCACATATTAAATCCTAAGTTACAAGTAGCTGCCAGCCAAGATGGAGCAAACTTTGATGTTGAGATCACCGGGCACTCCACTTGTAAAGCAAGTTGCCATAATGCTAACAAAATGGATCAAGATTTGCAGGGCGGTGTTGAATTGGCCTTCTCCAAATTGCAACTTGCTCAGGAGGTCAGCCTTGTTACTTGCTGTTGGGCCAGATCTTCATGGCCTTTTGCCCTTGAAAAGGAAACAAACATCACACCTTCCTGAGCCAAAGTGCAGGCACCCTTAAACCCTTCTGTTAGTGTAAACAAAACAAAGCTGAACTGGCTAGCAAAGTTAATTTATCTCAGATCTATCAATAAGAAAGAAAAGCTGCAGTGTTAATGATGTACTTGGAAATAAATCCCTTTGTGGGTATGGTGATTGGGGGTACAGTGAGCTTTCAAGGACTGCTAGAGCAATGCTCCGTTCCTTGCCTAGGAAATCTTGACAGCTCAAAGACAATAAGCTGAAGAAGTCATTCTGTTGCATGTGTTATATTGATTGCAAAATTGGGGTGAATGGGGATAGATAAGCTTATACATAGTGGGTCAGAAGTCTTTTGCAGCTCCTGGGAGACATAAACACCATATTTAGCAAGCCATTTCTGGAACTCTTGGGATTCTGATAAAATTCCCCAACACAGTTATTTTTCAAAGCCTGATCTGCTGTTTATGCTCAGTTTGATATTGAGGAGTGAAATAGCCCTTTCATTTAGGATGAAAAGCCTCTTAGTCATGAACGTGCAAAGATAAATATGTACATATTGCATTCAGTTTTAGATGAGGAGTCACAAAGAGCCCAGTTAAATAAAATACAAACCTTGTACACTTCTAAAAAGGTATTGTCTGTTTCCTTTATCATTCTTAATAATATAAAAGGGACTGACACCAATTTGTTAGGAGTCCAGGCGCCTTGTGAAAAACTAGCTCTGCAAATTTCCATTCCATCTGTCTTGTGGGAAAATGGATTCAATCTGGGTTAGATTTAAATTACTTAGCTCAGCCAACACCTCCTCACTCCTTTCTTATTTCTAACAGCGGAGGGGGGAATTAATCACTAAGCAGAACTAGTATTATAAGAGGTGACCACCACAGAAATAAATGTCTACAGAATTTGGAGATTAGGATAAAGATTATCTGAGTTGAGTGATATTAGGGGCATTGAGTAAGTTGATAGATAACCAGATATGTCTATTATTTGACGGTGCGGAAAAGAAGCAGAAAAATACATTTATGCTAGGGGAAGCTAAAAAGCTAAAAAATCCTTATCAAGTCCACAGAAAGTTGAGGAATATAGGTAAACATTGTGGAAGATCTCAAGGGCACAGCTACTGTTTTTGTTCCCCAAACCCTCAGAAATAGTTTTAATCCATGACTGACCTGTCTTCATTTGACTTTAAAGGCTGGGGAAAATACTGTGCCAGCTTGACCTTCCATAAATTATGCAACAGCAAAAATCCCATCTACCCAATAGGGATAGAAGGAAAAGAATCACATCAGAAGCCTGACCCTTTTCATACAACAGCTGATCTTGGAGAGGAGGCAACTGACAACAACAACAATACCACAAACCTGTCCCTCCCCCACCCAGCTTTTTTTTTATGTGTGTCTGAACAAAATGTAAAGCCCTCAAACTTCTGTAGAATCTGACATTTGGTAATTAGCAGACTTCCTTCCAGTGAGAAAATGGAGCCTTCGAATTTCAAAATAAAACTCCTCCCTTCGTGGTAATTTTAACTACACTATTATTGATGTTTAAACAGAGAGATCAAGAACTATTTTCAAAGAGTTGGATGGCAGTACCTGCAGTTCCCATAAATATGGGGAGGTTTCAGATTTAGGCAGAGTTCTTTCCCATTGTCTTCAACCACCTCCCAATACAGGTAGTCCTCAACTTATGACCACAGTTGAGCCCAAATTTTTTGTTGCTTGGGCAAGAGGTTTGTTATGTGAATTTTGCCCCACTTTACCTTCCTTGTCACCATTAAGTGAATCACTGCAGTTGTCAGGCACTGCAGCCGTCATAAATATGAGTCAGTTGCAAAGCATATGAATTTTGATCACATGCCCAATGGTTGTAAGTGTGAAAAATAGTCATGTTACCTTTTTCAGTGCCGTTGTAATTTTGAACAGTCACTAAATGAATGGTTGTAAGTTGTGAAATACTTGTACCTTGATGAACCTTGCATGGTAAACAAAGACACAGAGGGACATAGGTTTTGGGAGGGGTAACTTCTAAACAATTCCTTTTCTCTTAAAAGCCTTCCTCCGTCTTCTTGACTCTTCATGAGAGAAACATCTGATAGCCAAGAAGGGAGCCCTTCCCACTGAACCCAACCTCAAGGATGCCCTGGAACGTCAAATGGTTGAATAGCTACAACAGCCACAGCTCCCAGTCTCAGAAACAATGCAAGAAATCTTCTTTTGCTTTCTATCAAGCGGTGAGAGACCAGCTACCAGCATGGCTCTTGGAAGACATGAGGCGCATGGAGGTTTTCCACTGGCAAGAAGGAGGCAAAGTCAGCACGTATTCACCTTCAGAGGCACTGCTGTATGCCCTGGTACACAACCACCAGCCTTATGCCCGATATTTACTGAACCACTTTCCTAAAAGTGCCCTTGCAGTACCGAGCCTTCACTTCAGCTGCTGCCACTCTTCGGCTCCTCACTTAGCTATGGCTGTCCGGTACAATCGTATCCATGTCCTAGTAGAGATTCTGAAGGCCATCAAAAACTTCCCAGTAAGTGACCGCGCTACCTATTTGGATCGCCGAGGTTGCAGTCGGGTAGAAGGTGGCAAAACAGCCCTTCATCTGGCTTGTGAACTGGTAAGGCCAGAGTGTTTGCTTTTGCTGCTAGGACATGGAGCCTCGCCTTGCCTTCGTGACTGTGCTGGGAACACACCTCTAGACCTACTCCTACAACAAATTTGGGAGAGTCCAGCTCCAAATCTCTGCACCAAGCTTCTCCTTCTGGACTCACTCTTGCTCTTCATGCCTACAGGCTTCCATTTTGCCATGAAACAGCAGCTGCGGGAAGACCAGCAACCATGGCAGGACCTTCTGGGTGATAGCCGATATCAGTGGTTAGCTGGTTTTTCTCCTTTCTCTCTCTTTGTTAGATCCATGCAAGTTTTAATTGGGAGCATTTCACGCGAACATTTCCCAGAAGCTCTGGATGGTCTACCTTTGCCGCACTTTCTGAAACCTTTGGACCTGAAGTTGAAGAGCTAAGATTATAAGCTAGAGAGCCCCTTCTCTCACTTTTACTCCCTTTCTCCCTCGCCTTTCAGTTGCTGCTTGTGTGATAAAAACAGGTTGTGTGGAGAACCCATTTGCTGAAAATGAAATCTGTGTGGGAGAAGGAGAAGCACTTGTTTAATTAGATACTTTTTTTCCAAAGATTTTAATATGTTGTGTTTTATTTAAATATTGCTCAGTTGGAGAGAGTGGAACACCTAGAGTGCATTCTAAAAATAAATTTCATTTTACAGCAGGATGCACGGCTTAAATCTTAACTTGGGCAAGCCAAACTGTAGACTGCCCAAGTGAATTAGCATTTTAAGCCAGAAGCTAAAGCAAGCAATGAAACAGAGAGTAGCTTCTGTAATCCACACTCGGTAGATCAAAAGTAAATAATGCACCAACTGGATACTGACTGCTGCAAAAAAAAAAAAAACCAGATATACTCCCAACCAACAAAAGAAGGTCTGGAGTATGTCTGGTTTTCCATACCTCTTCTTTGTCAACTTCAAATTGCCTGCCACAGGATTGTATATAATTTCAACAAACACAACACAAGCAGAGTTTGAAATGTTGGCTTAAGCTATTACCTCTTATAAGTTGTGTCCAGCTAATGTGAAAAGGGACAAAAAATATCTTATTTCTTATAAAACAGCTATTAGATATTGGAAAGAATGGAACTATTAGCCAGCTGTCCTTACTCTCTCACTCTCATTATTTTCTCATGGCAATATATTGCAACAGTCAATTCCTTAAAATAATTATTGTTATTTTCTCTGCCACCAATAGTTCATTTTATTTAAAAATACACACATCTAAGAGGGAGGTCAAATCAGCTGAACAGTAAACAAAATTCAGAAAATCATTAAATACATAGCAATCTCCATTGGTATTAATAAGAACAATCATAGTGGAACAATATAAGCAATAACTATTTCAGTAAGAAGTAGTAAAAACTGAAAAAAACATTCAAAGTCAAGAAAATATTTTTGCAGTCATTTGGAAATTATTTGAGATCTGAAGAAATATTGATGATGGTGAGGGTCAAGAACCAAGATGTAAAAATCCAAAGCTTCACACGCCGTTGTTGCAACTGTTCTCTTCAGAGTCATTTCTCATCATTTTGTCTTGCTGTCTGTCTATTACATTTGCATAGCCACCCAGCTCACATAGTAACTCTTCGTTTCATGAACTTTGTTAAGAACATGGGGCTGTAAATATTAGCCCACCGAACACTGTATACAGTATATATCTGCTGGTTATTCTTACGGATTGGCTCCATCTCTCATCCAAAATGGACAAAAAGTGTTTTGGATGAGAATAAGATTCAAAAGAGGGTCAAATTGTGCACTCACAATCTCCAAGGTTCATCTACCAAATCGATGCAGGATTAGTCCAGAAGAATTAGAGTCCCTTCCCTTCATACACTATTGTTGGCTGAAATACAAAAACTATTTTACATCAGTCCTTGACTTTAGTGGCACAGAAGCTGGTGGCTCTGTGCCACTAAACCATGGTGGTTAAGGTGATGAGACCTGGACTGCGAAGACACAAGCCTATGTTCCTACTCATTTATTAGGCCATTTTAGCCTACTCTCATTCAGCCCAATCTATGTCTTATGAACTGGTAGGGATAAAAAGAGAGGAAATCCTGATACACATAAATCTGAGCTCCCGAAGAAAAGCTTGGGTATTCATGCAATGAATCAATACTGAGAATAAGAGATATGCAATTCTGACCTTAAAAGGAAAAGAATCTGGGTGGGGAGTTAGAAGGGTGCATTTAGGCCACCAGTTTTGGGCTCCTCCTCTCTGCACCCCAGATAACATGGCTGTGTAGCACCTGCCTGAATGTATCCAATATAACTAATCCACCTCTGGTCTGAGTATTTTATTCCACTGTTACATTTATAATTAGAATTACCCTGACATGCACAAATGCACAATATTTATTTGAAGAAATCTGCTTTCCTATCATTTCAGACAAATTTAAGATTTAAGAGCCATGGTGGCACAGTCGTTAGAATGCAGTGACTTTCAACCAAAGCAAAATAGTGGAAAAATTATTTCCTGTGAGTTAAAAAGTATGTTTCTATTGATACAACCTAAGATTGCATTTGCCTTCTTGGCAGCCAAGATAATTTTCTCGAGTACCATCATCAAGCCAGATATCCCCATTCTGCACTTGCACAATTGATTTATCTGACCTTTGTCTTAAATGATATTTTATAGTATTAACATTAACCTATCTTCTACCTGTAATCGCAATAACCTATCAAAATCATGTTGAATTTTATTTATTTCTTCTAGGGCAGGAGTGTCAAACTCGCAGCCCGTGGGCCAGATGTGTCATGTGCTGGCCACGCCCACTCCCAGTTTAGCAAAAGGGAAAAAAGTTGCAATACATCATGTGATGACATGTTGTTGTGAGTTTGTTCTAGGGTGTTAGCTATCCCACCCATGATCATCTGCAAGTTTGATAAACATTCCTTCTGTCAATCTTCACATTAGGATATAGTCTCTGTTTTCCAAATACTTGACCCTTAGCAATTAACCAAAATGCTCTCTACAGCATTTCAAATTTGTTCACTTGAGTAAGGGTGCAAGAAAGAATGCTCTTAACTTGTAATGAGCAAGAAAGCGTGCTCTTAACTTGCTATGCAATGCATTCTCTCTGTCTCTTCTCTTTGCTTTAAATAAATGCTATCCTTCAATTGCTATATTTCAGTCATAGAAAACATTCTACCAGGTCTCTCTGTTTCATATTAAACCATGTTGGTCCTTCTAGATTAAGAACTCAAGCTTAATCTTGTTTATTTCCATTCTCTGAGTAAAAGTGTACAAAGAAGGCCATTAACTTTATGTGTCATTTTTTTAAAAATTTACTTTTGAGTGGTTGTAGAGACTTCATTTTAACAATACAGTTTAACAACTTTTTACAACTTACATGCTTTTATACAAGGGACTTATTTCAGGATTTACTTTCCACATTTCATAGGATTGAAGTTAAACCTCTCTAATCAATCTTTACATGTTTTGGCTAAACACATCTGTCCTTATGAAATGCAATCCTTTTTATTCCAATGATAAATTATCTTGATACAGCAGACAAGGGTCATTGAAACCAGATTTTTTCCATCATGATCATTGAATTACAGAAGCCTTACCTTTTCTCGTCTACTTCCATGGACTGGAAGGAGGAATGAGAATGCTTCCTGAATATTCAGGTTCTTAATTTTCTTTCTGTGATTTTCAAAAACAGGCCTCACTTGAACATGGAGTGGTGGTTCACCAGGAGTTTGATAAAAAGTCTTATTTTCCCTCCTGTGCTGAAGGGCCATCAGACCCTTGAGAAGTTACAATAAGAGACAGCATTTGCTCAACACATCCAGCCACAGCTAGGCAACCAGATTTAACCTGATATAATGATGCCCAAATTGTAATCTAGGACTCAGTTGGCATGAATGTCAAAACTAAATAAAAACAAAGTAATAATCAAAATGCCCAACTGGAAAGAGATACTTTAAAAAAAAAATTGAGATCCTGAAAATGCCTCTTAGAAAAGGACATACTGTGTATACTATGATGTCCAGTGTGAGATGTAAAATGGTAGATTAAGACTTGAACTGATCCAGCAATAACTACAGATATTCCTTGTTAAGTGAAACTGCCAGGGTGCCTATAAACCTACCTTATTATTTCTTTGGGGAAAAAAATCATTCAATGGCACTTCGTTACAGGATCTGTCATTCTTGGAACCAATTAATCCAGGAGTTGGGGACTCTGAAGGTAGGTTACTTATTCGGTGTCGGTTGATTTTATTTACACCCTTCTTTTATTGAGGAGTTCAAACAGGTTACACTACTCCTCCCATTATTTTCTACCACAACCACCACATATGCCAAAAAAAAATCCAGCAGCTCCCTGCTAAAACAACTCTGATTGTTGTCACCAGCATTTAAGGTATAATAGTCCCTCTTGGCAACTTACAGTATACAGGCAGCCCTCGACTTACAACAGTTTGTTTAGTGACCAAAGCTACAACGGCACTGAAAAATGTGACATGACCATTTTTTTCCAATTATGATCTTTGCACCTTCCCCATGATCATGAGAACAGAATTCAAATGCTTGGCAACTTGTTTATATTTATGACCGTTGCTGTGACCTTCTCACAAGTAAAGTCAATGGGGAACAGTAGTGTGATTAAAAAAATAATACCAGTTCTGAGGGTGTGGCTTGGTGGGCATGGCATGGCTTGTAGGTGTGCCTTGGGAATGGCAGGGGAAGGATACTGTAAAATCTCCATTCCCTCCCTACCCCACTAACCTGCTTTCCAGCTCCGTTCTCCTGTGCAGGGCAACAAAAGAAGACCCAGCCAATCAGCTAGGACTCAGGAGGCAGGGAATAGTTGGGGGCAGGGCCAATCAGAGGTGGTATTTGCCGGTTCTCTAAACTACTCAAAATTTCCTCTAACGGTTCTCCAGAACTGGTCAGAACCTGCTGTATACCACCTCTGATGGGGAAGGACAGATTCACTTAACAGCCAGTTACTAACTTATCAACGGATTCAGTTAACAACTGTGACAAAATGGAGAAAAACTCACTTAACAAATTTCTCACTTAAAAACAGAAATGTTGGGCTCAATTGTGGTCCCAAGTTAAAGACTACCTGCATCTTTCATCAGAGCTTCCACTGTGTCTTCTCTGTGCTTTCTGAATACTTGTCTCAAAGGGGGCACCTTTCGGGGACAGTTTTATATAACTCTGCTCATTTTTGTGCCAGTTGAGTATTGGCATTCCCTAAATGAAAAGGAGAAAAATGAGAAGCCTATCTGTCCCTTCCAGAAGGAGTTGCGCAGAAAGTACCCTTGAAAAAATGGCTGCAAACATATGAAATACATCAAGTGTAATCTAAAAAATGCTTGCCTTCCATTCTTCTCAACATTATCTCCTACCATTTCTCCAAACAATGAGTTTCCCACTTTTCATCTAAACATTCAACATCCTTGCACTACCCAGGATCCAGCTCTGGCATGGGGTGGGTTTCCTCCATTTGCATTTTTGTACTTCTACCAACACTACATAAGCCAACAGCCTTCACCTTAAAGCCAGCCTCCTTGGATAATGTTTATCCATATTTTCTAGGTAACCTGGTAACA